GGGCTGGCGGAGCAGACAGGCGCGTATAAGGTCCTCCTCCCTCGCAGTAGTCCCGTGGCTCCGGCTACTGCTGCCTCCGCTGCGCTTATAGAGCTTTTTTCTCTCCGCGCACGCACACAATATATACATATATTTATACATCGGGACTCTTTTTTTTTTTTTTTTCTTTTTTTTTTCTCGACCCGCGTGCACAATTGTATTGTTTAGTAATACACCCTGTACGATTGACTGGTTTTTTTTTTTCCCTTAGCTTTTGTATACACATATATTTTTATACGGTTACATTGGACAGCGCAATTTTTATTTTTTTTTTTTTTTCCTGACGATTTTTTTTTGGCTACTCTCATGGCTCGAGGGTGCACGCGTGGGTAACGCACCATCGACGATAGACCGAGGGTGGACCGATCGTGGAAATTCGTCGTTTGAAAAGTCACAAAATGGACCATCGACACCGCTGCGGCTACGTTGATCCAGCGTATACACCCTGGTTCATCGTGTCGACGGTAAAAACAGTTGCGCAAATGCGGGGTTGTTCGCCATTCGATCACGGACGAGCTAAACAAAGCTCCGATGGTGCCGTTACCAGTGTAGCTTATCGGCCCAACGTATAGGAAGGACGTATAGCCGTATACACCCACGATCCGTAAGTTACTTTGTCATTGTTCCTTGGCGTTGGAGAAAAGAAAAACAGTCTATTGAAAAACTTATCGATTTCCCGGTTGAAAATGATCCCCAAACCCCCCTCCCCCCCGTAAGTCAGGCGTTTCGATAAGGTATCCAACGTCGTTAATCAATCGTAAGCTGCACGGTGATAAGGAATAAAGGCACGTACATGACTATATAAAGTCAAAAGGTCACGCTTTCTCCTGTTGAATATATGTTTCACTTGAGCAGCAGAACGTGGTTTTTTTGTTTTCATCACCACAGTCTATATAATGTTTCTTGTGGCTTGTGAGTTCGTCAGACGCAAAAATCTCTATCATGAACATCGGTTCGGATTAGTGCACTCGATACACGCGTGTACAGCAGAACGTGGATTTACGTGGATTTTATCGTGTCTCTATTGTTTCACGGGGGGGGGGGGGAAATTTGTCATTCTGAGGGAGAATGATTACCCGCGTGGAGATTAAAGTAAAGTGCGGGCTGTAAGCTCCGGAAGTGGGAAAATATTGCCTTAAACACGCGCGTCATTGAAATACTTGTGCGGGGGGAGGAAAAAAAATTGAAATATCTTAACTTGAACCCAAAGCTC